TTTGAAGCCAGCTCTACAAAACGGTAGCTAAAGATTCTCAAAATACTTCATAGCAATAGTAATTGATAATTAAACAGTAGGCACATGTTTTTGGGACATCCTGTATAACTGATGTCGTTTCAGTTATCTCTGAGAGGATGTCCTGTGAGAATCATAACCGCTTCACCGTATAGCGTTATAAAACAGTGTTTGGTAAGTGTCGCTATGCTGTAGGTAATGCTGTGTAATTAACTGTACGCTTATTAGGTGCAATGCTATGACACAAAATTGGATATAGGTGCGAGCGAACTGAAGAATGCTGTTCTTTCTAAAATAGGGCTCTCAGCAGATGCACGATGCAGCAAGTTTGAGGTGGCCTTAGAAGACTTGAGATCGGTATGATTTCGTTTGGTGTGTTAAGATGGGGGGAGGGAAGGGCCAGGGGGGAGGGGGAGCGGGCAGTTTCTTTTCAAAGCTATCGAAATTGTTTTAGGCCGTTATCGAAAAGGGGGGATGTATGCACTTTGTCACTGGCGGACGTTCACTGAGCCTTATCGTTGACGTTCCGTTTGCATATGATCTCAATCAATATCGGCAGAGGTTCTTTAGTGGATCTAGAACCGTTAGTGTAATTCCGCTTATTTGTTACTCTTGTTCATTACATTGGTTTAGGCCCGATGGATGACTTGGCCAGAAAAAAAAATAGTCGATTCATCGCTGAATTGTCAGCGTATCCGTAAGTTCAACAATCCGGCAATTTTTGAGTTTGCTACCATTAGAGAGTGTGAAGAAGCACGACACTATCACAACTCAACGGCCGAAGTACTACCTTTGCTTGAGTTGAGTAAGGCAGCAGTAATGTGGGCGGTTTAGTTTTTGCCTGGTGTTTTGCTATGCGGCTCCTCTGCGTGGAATTCAGTAAAAGGTCAAGTAACCTACAAAGTTTCCTGGTTTTCCAATCCTTGTACGGGCAGTGCGGTGTTGGAGGTAGTACTCAATTTTAGTGGCTGTTCTTAACAAAAAAACACATTCAGTTCAAGAGCAGTAAAGATGCTAGCAGAAGTACTGCGACGTTGAAATCATTAGGATATAAGGTGAAAAATCTCAATCGATACTCACCAAACTTTGTAAATTGGGAAAGGAATTCTTGTCGTAATCAAGACTAAGTGTTTTTAGAGGACTATTGATTCACTATCAAAGGATATACAAAACGATTACGAATTTGAACAATTGCTGAAAAATCAGCTAGCTGCTGATGGGGTCGATGTCATAACCGTTACGTTGCGAAGGACTAGTCACGGGATAGAAGAGTAGGAGCCTTTTATGTAACTCATTTTAGATCAATAGAATCGAGCATATGTTTGTAGGACTCTGATGGAATCTGCGATCAGTAGCATAATTGCAAATTATCTCATGGATACCAATAATTGGAATTACGATTTACCGGGCGACCAAGATTGGAACGAAGTGAATTGTTTTTGCTTTTTATGAAGTCTCTTACTTTCATACTTGGCTTTTTTCAGTTTTTTTGCATCGGAACGATGCCCATGGTGTTGGACAAGTTCGTCTTCGGCTACTTTTGAAGAAGCCTGGGCTCCCTGCGTTAAAACTTTAGTTTTTAAAAATATGCAAGACGGATTAGTTGTGGAGAAGTTCCTTACCGATGATGGCTTTTGAATGATACGATTGCGGACATGACCAAGTACTTCAGAAAGGTGCTGTATTACTAATTTTTCTGCATCACGCTAAATTTGTCATTTATAGGTCATGTTTTCTCCGGTGTATTCAGTTGTTCTGCCATTAACGATGAAAGTTCGAATAGCCTGCGAGGATTATATCACGTAAGGAGGAGACAAAAATTGAAATTTTCGATGACAACAAGACAATTTTTGGTTTATTGAACAAGTCTCGGATTTTTCTAGAGAAGTTCGTTCCCGGAAGCAAAATGGAGATTTGCGTTTAACGGATTCGCCCACTTGCCACAAGAGGAGCAAGGATCAGTGTGGAGAGAATGATTTACGTTGATAACTATTCCCGGATGGCCGTTTGCGTACGTATACCCCTAAATTACATTGTAAAAAGTTACAGCAATGTGCAGCAGACTGCAGCCCTTATGAGTATTAGTTTTTAGGCTTGTTGAACAAACCTCCTTAGACTTACTCTCCTTCTTTCGTGGATTTCACATCGACTGTTCAAATGAGCTGAATGCCTGCCTATTATATGGGTTAGTCATTGTGAATGTTATAGTGTTCAATTTTTTTAATCAATTCTGTTAAAGGTATGGGCTCAAGTACGTCCACCATACACGATCAAAGTTCAGCCAACGCGTGGTCATAGATGTGGATTTCTTGAGAGAGCGCGTCACACTTGTTGGTGACATGGCTGAAAAAGCGAGAGAAGAATTGATTTTGTACGCAGAAAACAAGTTACGTCAGTTGTTTATCTCATAGAAAAACTAATGGTTCTTGCTTTTAGGAATAGTTTCCAACTCAAAGAGCTCATTGCTTTGCGTCCGCCGATGTATTGTAAGTACACACTCGGAATTATTTGCTTCGACATTGGCATAGAGACGCTTCGGTGGGTGATTGATTTTTTTCGGCGTTGTATTTTCATGTTTTTCTACAGACATTTATGTGGAGCTAATGTGGAGTTAGTCAATAACGAGTATATCCAATTCGAGGGGACGGTTTCGCAGCTTGAATTACTCAACAAGTACCTGGATGAAATCAATGATAGAGTAAAAACCAGTTTTCCATTTATGTTATCTGCTTGTTAATGTGTGAAGTGTTATCGGCACGTGTTGTAGGTACGGAAATTAACACCAGAAACTACAAGTGGAAAGCCGAAGTGCCCAGTCTGTTTATCGTCCATAACAGACTCTTTTTACGCAATGAGTGTGGGCATCACTATTGCCTAAAATGCGTACTGTTTCACGTAAGAAAAAACTTTTATTGTTGTATCATTTGATTTGCATAAATGGGAATATGCTTCTTTATAGGTGTATGCTGCAATTAGAAACCGCTCAATCCCTCTTTTGTGCATAGCTGCCGATTGCAACGAGCCGATTTCGTTGGAGGACATAAAGGTATCTTCTTACACAGGGTGTTCCATAGCAAGCATAAATTTCTCAATGGTGAACAACTGTCTTTGTACAGAATCTTTTATGTAGCTGTTCCATCGGATGGAGCGTGATCTAACTTCTGTATACTGTATAGAGTGAATCACCTATCGGTGTTTTTTGCTGTAGGAATACACTATGGTTGCGTTCATACTGATCCCGAAGTTCGGAAACAGTTCCAGCACAGCGCTCGAACTGAGCGTTGTGCTGGAACTGTTCCCGGACTTTGGGATCAGTATGAACGCAGCCTAAGGAGTTGGTGGTGGACAGTGAAGAATCGTTGGCTTCATATTGCACCAAAATACTACTGAACGAGTCGAATGTTTTATAATCAGGCTAAACTGAGTTCCTGATTATGAATGAAAACTTTACCTTTGCCGTAAGGTTTTTGGAATAAGTTATGGTAGGTAAATCGCTTTGAAATTTCTCAGGGGCTTTGAAATTTGTGACCGAAATATTGGAATGATTGATTTCTAAAATCTTGTGTAGTGAAGTCAGTATGTTTAGAAACACTTGTACACAATTTTCGAAATCTGGAGCTTGAAGGGCCTTTCTCAGTATGTCGCTTTATGTTGGAAGTTGCTACCGTAGTTCAGCAGTAGCGAAGATAGACGGGTAATTCGCTTCATGCTGCAATCTAAGTTAAAATCTGCCCTACTGAATGGTGCATAAAGCCAAGTAAAAGAGTTCTGGAATGGGAGTTAAGAATGCAACATACTATATAAAGATTAAGTATATAGTGGATTCCATCTGTATTGAAAATGTTTCAATGCGCTTGCGTTCTATGACATCTTTTTCTTTGCTCAGGTCCTTATTTTGGGAGACAACATTTTGCCATGGCTAGCCGCAGAAAAGCTGCGATTCATCGACGCTAGCCTTGACTATGAGAGACGAGAAGGAAACATCATTCGTTGCGCAACGCCGGACTGTTTAGGATTTTTTGACGTTAGTACACTAACCATCTTATATATATATGTTTATATTCCTTAATATATGCATATATCTCAAATTATGAATATGTAGATTACGGAAAAATCCGAAAAGCTTCGCTGCGGCATATGTATGAGAGACATGTGTGGTTATTGTCTCGAAAATTATGGAACTCTTACATGTGCAGAATTTTCAACTTTGAAAGGTATACTCCATAACTTTTTATTGATCTTAGTATAATTTTTTTTCTTACAGATAACAGTGACGCTTCTTTACGTTCATATATGCTCGTCAATAAATCCAGCACGAAATTTTGCCCGCGGAGTGATTGTGGAGCAGTAATCGAAAAGGTTGGAGGTTGCGACCATGTGGAATGTAGCAATTGCAAGATTCATATTTGCTGGGTTTGCGGTTACATCGTGAGTTTAGATTTACATTTTAGTTACGCCCCTATACAAATTCTTCTAGAGTGACTATGCTGGGAAAATTTACTCCCATATAAGGAATTCACATCGTTCGGTTCGTGTTTAAAGTGATAACATATTTTTGTTTTTTGCCAGATATGTTTTTTGTTCTATTTTGTATTGTTCGCTTGCACAGCAAGCTTTATGCACACGTTCTTGATCTCTCAGTGTTTTTCTCGCATCTCCTGTTGGATCTCATATCGTTTTTGTTCTTGTTGTTTTCGTCTGTTGATTACGCTTTTGTTCCAGTTATACACAACTCGAATGCAATGTTCTGTTGTTGTTGAATGTTGATTACGCTTTTGTTCTGTGCTGTGTCCTGTGTTCGTCTCCTAGATTGAGCGCTATTTCCTTTTTTTCAAGTGTTCTGTTGTGTTTGGCTTCTATGTAATATACATAGTTACTCTGCGTTTGACGCTATGGCTTCCTGTCTTTTCGTGTCGTGAATCGTCCATATCTTCTTGTTCATTGTTGACTGCAAAGCTTAGTACTATTCATTATATGTTCTAGGTTTCCAGTTGTACACAACTCCAATGGGTGGAAATAAAGTAAACATGGCTTTGGATGACGTCATCGCCTGGTACAAAAAGCGCCGTGAGGTAGGGATTGCCGAGAGGTGTTATGCACGCGTACAGTCGAGTATACTTTGTGCTTAGTGTAGTGCTACAGTGTAGATGAAATACAAAATTTGCGTAAAATTTGCGCGTAAACACTAATCCCATGAACAAACAACAACAGCGTTATTGGATTATTTGTTTGCCTGTAAAATCTATCCCATTATATTAGGTTGTAACAGAATTAATGCAGGTTTTTCGCTCACCTTTTTCAGAATGCTGGTTTAGAAAGAAAAACTGTCCTCCCAGAGAGTCTTGCATGTCATTTGAAAGCTCTTTTCTTCTAATTTCTTATGCATTCTTTCGTTTCAGTGGAAGTGAATTTGTCCAGAAGTTCTGAGCCCATGAACTCAAGAAACCGAACCTCGAAATTCTCTCTCTCTCAACATACCTGGCTCTAAAACCACCAGAAACAATCGGAATTCGCTGCAAATTTACATAGTATTTTTGAGTGAGCTATTTTAAAAAATGCATGCTGAATTATGAATTTTAAAAACATCTGAGCCGAGAAATTTCAGAGCAAAATTCAACGGTCGCTGTGGTCTGTCTGCCCTACATAAAAATCATCAGCGCGAAGCGACTGCGGAGCTTCGGCTTTACATAGGAAGAATAGGTTTAAGACAATTATGGCTGAAAAAATCAGGAGCCGTTTTCCTATTCAGCTTTGAAAATATTCAAAAGTTCCAGAAAATCGATTTTTCAAATTCTCAGAAAACTGGAAAAAATGAGTACTTTCAAAATTTTTTCAAATATCCTCTCGCAAAGAATTCTTTTTCAATTCCGAATTTAGCCCTGCTGCACAACCGATCATAGACTACACAGTGAGTTATATTTGCGCTACCTTACTACATTTGATAGTAAGTTATGGTCTCTTAAAGTGAAGGTTTTCCAAAAAAATTCTTGGCAGAATTCGGGCTATAAGATTTTTCTCAATGAAGCTACAACAACAAAATAATGCATATTGAGTTGAGAAAGGTTTGCTGATTACAACAATTCTTGCTGCACACGAAAAGACTACTTGTGTAAAAAGTTATAGTGATCCAAACACAAAATTCAGAAAACCTGCATTAATTCTGTTACAACCTAATACATGCAGTGGAAACACGCTATACCAAGGGTTGTTTCATACTGCAGTCGCTGCAGTAGCGACGGTCGATCGATGAATATCTTTTGCCCGCGATACTGTGACTGCAGCTGCTGCAGCGACTGCAGTATGAAACATTTCTAAGCGGAAGATCTAGTGGACTCTGCATAGTGTTACTTCTGATACAATTATGTTCACGAAGGTATATTTAAGGATAAGGACAAGGTTGACAGACATATGACAAGTCGTGGAAAAAGTCCGAATTACAAGCGACATCATGCTTTGCATTCCACATCGGTGTCACGCTATCGTCGGCCTGCCACATATCATGTAGGGTTTTGAAAGCACGTAATTATAGAATGTTATCTACATTGTAATGTTTTCAGTCATACAGAGGTAGTGGGAAAAAAGCGGCGGAACGAGAATCAGGCCGCATAGATGGACACAGACGATCTGCGTGGAGCTATGTTGCTGTGAACGAGGTTTGTTCATTCACATCGTGCATCCCCTACAATTGTATCCATAGGGTGCTATCAAAGGCAGCGTACACCAAAAATTTCACCTTTGATGTTTTTGTTATTTTGGGGCCTTTCTGTGCCTCTGATTATAGTTATGACATTAAAATCCTTCAAAAGTTCCCAAAAACCCCGATTTCCGGAGGCCGTCGTTAGAGGGCGGACGAGTTTTGTAAGGCTCGTTCACGTCGGCATGCTAGCAACTGCAACAGCATGACAGCCTGCAGTTGCAACTGCAACGCTGCATATGCTGTCGTGGTTCGTCGTCCAAAGGAGGCGAAGTGATAGAAAAGGAGGGGGGGGGGGGAATGAAGGAACTATCAGACGGGTTTTCTCCGCTCAGAAGCAACATTAGAAGACGGGACCAACGCGGTTGGTCTCTTTCTGGGCCGTAACATATATACAGTATAGAAAATTGGTAACTTAGGTTTTGGGTGTACGTTGCCTTTAACTTGGCTACTTTTCGATCGTCTTAACATGTCAAATTTGACTAATAATTTTACTGAGTAAACGTGTTAAAACGAATGAAAGGCAGCCACGTTAACGGTACTGCGTGTCGGTCATCTTATATATAAAGCTGAATGTCTGTTTGTCTGTATGTCTGTCTGTATGTATGTATGTACGTATGTATGTATGTACGTATGTTCCGAATAGAAAATTCCATTTCTGAACCGATCCGGACCAAACTTGGCACACATACACTTCGGGCTCCGGCGCGTGTCATAGGCTACTTTTCGTCATCGATCGATATCGATTTTATCGATTTTTATCGATTTTTTTGCTGAGTTCACCTACGGGGCTGGGAGTTGGCACAGGGGGGTAATCGAGCATGGGGATTCCGAATACAATATTGGTTTTCAGGATTATCGATTACTTTTATCGATTTTATCGATTTTTTTGCAAAGTTTGAGCTACGGGGCTGGGAGTTGGCACAGGGGGGGTAATCGAGCATGCTGATCATCCCCAAGGGGGGTGATCAGCATGCTCGATTACACCCCTGTGCCAAATTCCAGCCCCGCAGGTCAAACTTTACAAAAAAAATCGATAAAATCGATAAAAGTAATGGACGATCCTGAAAACTAATATTGTGTTCGTAATCAGCATGCTCGATTACCCCCCTGTGCAAAATCCCAGCCTCGCATGTCAAAATTTACAAAAAATCGATAAAATCAATAAAAGTAATCGATGATTCTGAAAACTAATATGGTATTCGGAATCCCCATGCTCACTTCCTCCCCTGTGCCAACTCTTAGCCCTGTAGGTGAACTCTGCAAAAAAATCGATAAAAATCGGTAAAATCGACATCGATCGATAACGAAAAGTGGACTGTGACACGCGCTGGGGCCCGAAGTGTATGTGTGCCAAGTTTGGTCCGGATACGGCGGAGCCGGGTAAGCCAGCTAGTCTGCTATATAGGTATTGTGGCCTAAACTGGCCTATGCATAAATCATAAGGGTGGGTTTGAACTTTAACGGGGCGTTTTTGGCACATATGGGAACTGTTCTAGGGAATGCAGCATGCATGATGAGTGTACCGTTTTGGACCTTCAAACTTTTTTAGTATAACAGACGTGGACTTCGAAAAAGCGTGGATTTCTCGTCACCTCGTAATAATAATTGTGAACGTTGTGTTCACTGCGGTCGCTTGCAGGGCGAAACTTTTCTTCATGGAGGTACCTAAAATTGCACTTTGGATAGGAAAATTTGAGCACATTGGTTTTAGTTCAAGCTTTTATGGAACAACAGTCATGGCCGCGTAGGTATTCGCATGAGCATGAGCCTGTGATGAGATCTGACATCGGTATCCCTCGTTTCGTTGTGTATCCCGGTGCTTGTGTGGGGTCATTTGTGCAAAGAAGTAACGCGGCTTATGTAGGAGAGGTTAGTTGACCTTCTACTTTGTACTCGTACTTGTGGTTAGCACGGGACACTTGTAACATTGTAGATTTATTAGTAGACTGGATGTGAATGGGAACAGACGATAAGACAAGAGGAATGCCTAAGCTAGCAGAGAGCGCCTTATATAACGCTCAGATCTCGCACATAGGTGAATACAATACCAATATATCCTAGACATCACAAGCCAATGACAACACAAAACAAAACAACAAATATTATTCTCCAACATCTCTCCCCTTGATCTATGAACTGTATGGCTTTTTTGACGGGTTGATCACGATCCGGCACGGTGGTCGTTGTGTTCTTTGCAACCGGCGGGCAAAGTGGCTGTGGAGATCGTTGAGTGGCGAAGACATCACTATCTATGAATTCGGCAGCATCAGCTGAGATATCGGGACTTGGTGCTTCATCATCGAAACTGGCGTCTTGAGAAGGGAGAATGTCAGCAGAATCGGCAGGCGATGGTCGAGGGAGCTCAAAATCTAGGAGGTTTAACTCTCTTAGCGTGGTAGTGGCGTCGGGAGCCTCGATGGCGTAGGTGGTTGGCATGGCGTTTCTATATCTTTCGATTGCCACGTTGTAAAGTGAGCGTCCAATCCTTGATTGCAGACGTCCTGGAGTCCAAGTAGGCCTCGTTGGATTACGGTAGTCGCGAACGTAGACGGCATCGTAGAGTACGAATTTCCTTTTCTTGCCTCCATGTCAGCGGTTGTGCGTTGCTTCCATGACGGGTTTCGATACGGAGGAGTGAGTTGCTATGACAGTTCGACCTCAGTGACGAAACGTGTGAGTGGAGTACCAATCGGAAAATGAAGAAACATCTCGGCAGGCGAAGGATTCTTCGGTGAAGAAGGGCAGGACGAACAGCGATAACAAAGTAATAGCTTTGACAAGCTTCCGGAAACTTTCCTTCCCCTTGTAGCTTAGGTGTCCTCTCTTGAAAATTCGGACGAAGCGTTCAGCGAGGCCATTCGATTGTGGGGAAGTGGCGGGGTCCGAACTTGCTTAATCGAAGTACTGGGAAGAGAATTGGGTGCCGTTCTCCGAAACAAACGTTTCTGGGAATCCGAGTTGGCTGAGGATCTTCATGAGTTCCTGCGTGGCTTCTTGTGACGTAGTCGACTGCATCTCTACGATTTCAGGTCAGCGGGAGTACGCATCCATGAGAACGAGATACATGTGTCCATACAGCGGTCCCGCGAAATCAATGTGCAGGCGTTCTATCGGGCGACTTGCGATCGGCCATGGAGTTAATTAGCTTTTATAGGATTCTTAGCGGCAAGTTGGCAATTCTGGCAGCGTTGCACAGTCTTCTTGATGTCTTCTTCTATACTAGGCTAATAGACATAGTTACGAGTAAGCAGTTTCATCCGTGTTTGTGCAGGGTGTCCGTCATGTAGCATGCGGAGAATCTTCTTCCTCAGCGAAGTGGGTATGGGTAGTCATCCTGGATTTCAATGCTACCATTTCTGGAACAACAGCCGTCATGGCCGTGTAGGTATTCAGTTGTGCATGAGCCTGCCAGGAACTGACGTCTGTGACCATCGTATCGTTTTCTATCCTGATGCTTGCGTGGAGTCGTTTCTGAGCAAAGATAACGGGGCATACGTTGGAGAGCTGAGTTGGCGTGTAGATTATGTTATCCTTTCTTCATAGTACGTTGATTCTAAGGTATGAGCTTAAATGTTATGTTGTTAGGTGTTTGGTGTTGAAAACAACCACCTGGTCTATCCTGGCTACCGCAGCATCTATCCTGGCCACCTTAGCATTTCGAATGAAACTTTTCCCCAAAGATTTTATCCACTTAGGTAATTTGTTTCGCTAGGACATGAAATAGATTATGTTTTCTGTTCCTTAACGACAAACTTGAGTTTGTTTGTTGTTCATAATGATTACGTGTTGCACAGAGGCTTTTAGCGTTATTGAACTATGTTCCTTCTTTTTATCAACTGCTACTGTGGTTATAATAAACGGCTTTATAATAAACGTTTTTTACATCTGCAGAGTTTTCTACTGTGCACATTGTAAAAATCAACATTATCTTTGTAGCTAGTGTATTTCTAATAAAACGAATGCTAAATCTAAAGTATTTAAAGATGAAGATACTTACATTGCATTGCAAACTGGGTCGTGCTCCGTGATTCTAATGTACTTGTCTCTTTTGTTTCCGTATTTAAGGTTGCACTCAATGATTTCATACATGAGTGATAACTCTTTTGAAATTTCTGTAGATTATGCAATAGTAAGCTTATTTTATTATTCTTGGAGAATATTTATTTATTTGTAGGTTCTTCGTGCTGTGAGAGAGGCAAGAGAAAGTGATGATAAGAAGCTATACATTGTGGACTGGTTGTCGCGAAACGAGGGTGAGTATCCTTATTCTTTCATTTGTTGATTTTTTAACGGTAACCTTTTTTTCAGCCATTTGGAAGAAGTCGTCCGAAAGGGAAGCCCACTACAGGCGCAAAATGCGCAAAGAATTGGAGCAAAAGGCCAAGGAAGAAAATTTGCACAAGAATGAATAGTTGTTAAAGGAAGAATAGTTTTTTTTAGTTTGAATAAATTGTTAATTACTGCATTATGTGGATGGTATAGTATGCAGTGTAGAGCGCCTATGATTATCTGCAGTAATGTAGTCCATATTGCACGGGTAACAATAAAAGGAAGTTTCCCGGGTTGGCTGCATCGGCAGTTGCTCCCTTCACTGTTCTCCCTCTTTCTAATAGTTTCAAAATTACTGATTACAATCAATGATTTCTCAGAAAGTGTCAAATCTGCGGCCTATGTTTTCTGAGAAGATCAAGTCTCATAATTTGTCGAATTCAAGAATGTATAAAAACAGTTTTATCTTTTTTTTTTCGGATGCGTCATAATTTTTGTACAGATTTTTACTTACAATCACCGAAATTTCACAAGCCTGTCGCAGATACATATTTATCATACACCCACGTTCTTCTACCAAGGGGAATGAGATTTTAATTGAAATCCGGATTTCAGCCCGGCCGCCCAGGACTCTGGGCGAACGAAAATGGAGGTCGAGGTCTAAGGTTCACAAGACTGCGAATTCCTCGAGCGACTATTCCCGTTGATCAAATTATGCATTCTTTCAACTAAAAACAACAAATTTATTTCGGCGCAATTGCAATTCAGCGATCCCAAACCGTGACCATTGCGGAATTCGATAATTTTTTATGGTGCGTTGTTTTACAATCCTATGACATTTTCATACCAATTGATCACGATCGCGCCCCCATTGCATGGTTACGGTGGGTACGTTTAGTGTCTTGTGAACTTTCTGTAGGATTATCTCGTATCCTCACTACATATGACTCTTATGTTGGTCAGACTTGATAAAAAGCTACCATGCTGGGAATTTGAGAAGACTTTTTTGGTGGTTCAAAGACGAAATTTCTTACAGGAAGAAGCCACTGGGCCGAATCAAGCTTATATTTTGTTTAGGTTGTAAAGCTTGTTGAGTTCTTGGATCTTTCTTACAAGTAGAGGTCCTCATGAGGTATCCTATTAATTGTAATTATATTATGTGCAATACAGTATGTTATCTTACACCAAGTTGTTGTTGTTTTATAAAATCTTTGCTTAACAGACACATATGCACATGAAAACCACGTATTTAACAACAAATAATAGTAACATAACAGAATTGCCTAACAGGAATAGAGCATATAATAAATAAAAGAAGAAAAGAAAGTTACCTAATTTCCGTTTCCTAATTATGAAGACAGGGAGATTTGGTGTATGGATATGAGTATGTTTCTGATGATGATAATATGAACTGCCTTCACTGGTTCTGGCTTTGGTGTGCTGCAAAAAGTATACTTTTTACCTATACTTTATTTTTTCGCATCTGTGCTATAGTGCTTTGGAAAACATCTGTATTATTTTTACAGAAATTACTGGTTTTGCTCGGCCAGGATGTCGCTTGGTGAAATTGGAAGAGAGCTTTCTTGTCGTGTTTGGATGGGAACTGTTGGCTTAATGATGAGGTCACCTACGCTTGCAGCAGAAAGTTAAGGAAGTTTATCGATGCTTCCCTTGACTGTGCGAGACGAAATGGCAAGATAGTTCGTTGTACATCACCAGACTGCTTAGGATTCTGGAACGTTATTAGTATATATGTATTGTTACATGCTTACATGGTCCTGAATAAATCCAGAACCAAGATTTGTCCTCATGGCTATGGAACAGTTATATAGAGAAAATAGGAGGCTGTAATTATGTGGAGTGTGCAAATTGCAAAACTCACATTTGTTGGCTTTGCGGTTACGTACTAAGTTTAGGTTTACAATTTATTTACGTCCCTATGAAAATCCTTTAAAAATGACCTGCTAGAAAGAGAATTACTCCCATGTAAGAAATAATCATCCCACTGTGCGCGTTTGAAGTAATGACATATTTTTGTTTCGCGCCAGCTACTTTTGTTTTTGTTCTATCTTATATTGTTCTGGTAGGTTCTGAACTTCATGGATGTATGTTATGTAATTCTTTTTTCATACTTCATTTTTCTATAGTATGACTTTTGATGTTACCTTGTTAGGTTTTGGTGTGAGTAACAACACCTGTACTCTGATCACCGTAGCATTTGTCCGAACCACCTCAGCATTTGGAATGAAACTTCTCCTCAAAGTTTCTATCCGCTTAATTAATAATTTTCACTAGGACACGAAATAGATTGGATTTGTTTTCTGTTCATGAACGACAAATTTGAGTAAATTTCTTGTTCATAATGTTTAGGTGTTGCGTTGTTGAACTATGTTCCTTCTTTTTATCAGCTGCTACTGTGGTTGTGTGAATGTAATTGATCTGCACCTATACCTCTTTAGGTTTTTTTTTATTTTTGTTGAATAATAGATGACTTGTCATAAGCGATATTTTAAAATTGCAAAGCAAAAGGACGAAAGTTTCAGCTCACTGCGTATTGCTGTGCGAATATACTCTTGTATTTGATTAACAGATCATCTAAAGGGAATTGTTCAACGATGTGCATGATTACGTTGAGCCTAGAGCCCTAACAATAACGCGTCTCCACTCATATCTGGTCTCCTCTCTAGAGACATGTATATGCGCATTGGCTTTCATAGAGAAATTCGCATAGTTTTACCGTTTTTATTCTGAAGAAGTTCGTTCCCATAACCAAAACAGGGATTTATCCTTAATGGACTAGCCCACCTTCCACAAAGGTGCAAAGATTAGAATAGAGAAAATGATTTCACGTTCAAAACTATTTGCGGATGGACGTTTAGGTATGTATACTCTAAAATTTCATTATAAGTTGTTTCTATGAGCTCATTTTGTTTACTAAAAAAACTCCTTTATATGGAGAAATTAACTTTTGGTTTATTATGCAGAGAGTAGAAGTTATAATTATTATGAGTATTAGTTTATAGACTTGAAACCTCAGTAAATCTGCTCTCCTTTTCTCGTGGATTTTACATTGATTGTTGCAATGAGGTGAATGCCTACCTGTTGTACGGGTTAGTCATCCGTGAATGTTAAGCCGTTCAATTTTTTTTTATCGATTTGTCAAAGGTATGGCTTCAAATACTTGGAATATATACGATAAAAGTTGCGAGAACGCGTGTTCATACTCAGACACTCGCGGTTGACGACCGCCGGAGATCCGCCCACTTTCGCTTTGTTTCGGGACAAAGTTGTGTCCTGCGGTTGTCCCGATTCACCGGCAATTGCGTCGGGATTGTCCCGACGCTTATCAATACAATCGATCGCCTGCGTGCAGCGAGGATAGCCGGCTTCAAGCACACGTTCAAGTGTTCCGCCTGTATCCTAAAGCTTCGTATGTTCCCAGCGTTCATCGGCGTCTTCTTTGATTTCAAGTTCAGATTATCGGATTTCGGACTGCAACCTTCTGCTTCTGAAGTTTGAGCTCAGATCAGTCATCCTTCTTAGTACAAGAGCTTTGCTTCTTCGCGTCAAGTGTTGACAGTTGTTAAGGGGGATTTGTTTGTACACTTTCAGAAGAATTGCTAAAGGCAGAGTTTGCTGTATCTGCATGTTCAGCGCCCATAACGCAAAGTCTGGTACTTGTTTTCTTTGGACTGAACGGTTTTTGCATACAAATTTTCTTTGTTTGTCATAGAGTTTCTTCCTCAAGTTCCATGCTCTTTCTTTTTGCATTTTTAGGGATTTTTCAACTCGCTGATTTTTTTTTATCTGTTCAGTGAATACCAAGTTTTGGGTCTTGTTTTGTATGGTGGATTCTTTTTGGGTTCAAATTTACTTCCTTCTTTAGGGTATCTAATCTTATACCTTTTCTATCGTCATAACCTCGAGCACCTGTCTCTTGAATTCGTTAACTCCCGGTTCCTCGTTTTGCTTTCTTTTCGAAATCTTTTCTTTTTTTTCCTTTTTTTCTTTTTCGAAAAAAAAATTTTTTTTTCTTTTCGAAAAGCAGCAGAAGGAAGCAGAATTGGCCGCTGCTGCAGCAGCTCAGCAACAACAAAATGCCGCTGCAGCTGCCCAAGCACAGCAACAGCAACAACAGTTCTACAACGACCGCATGATGCACCCCGCCGCTATGACGGTACATCATATTGTTGACCTCCTCATGTTTGAAAAGCATTGTTCAGCCTAATATGCAGATAATGGGTCACTCCGCTTACCCTCCTGGTGCTGCCTATCCACCCACTCAACCAGGTATGCCTGCCGTGCCACCCCAGTACCCGGGATATCCTCAAGGGCCTACCCAGCAGCAGCAACTGCAGCAGCAACAGCAACAAGCCTTGTGGCATCAGCAGGTTAGTTGACTAGCAAACTAGCATGACTCATTGACGCAAACGCTTTTGCAGATGCAGCAGCGGGTGATGTCAGCCAGCATGGGCAGGTAGTGGGAGGACCTCCTGCACAGCCGTGGCCAGGTCAGCGAGGTCCTCCTGTGCCTTATCCAACTCCGATTGGTAAGTTGTTTTTGCACTTGTTTACACCTTCTCTTGCAAACTCGGTGCTTTAGATGGTGTGCAGTGTGGTCCGGCATCGGTACATCCTACGGTCTCGCAAAGAACTTCAAGATCTGGGGAATATTCTCGCGACGGCACATCTCCTGCAACGCCCCATCAGTTCAATCCTGGCAGTCATCAAGGAATGATGATGGTATGTTAGTTGGTTATGGTTACATGCCTTAACTCTACTGAGCGCTGTCTCTTCGTGAGATTTGTAATTCACTTTTTGAACTCAAAATCTAATGAAACTATCGTTGGTTTTATTATTACGAGGTGTACCTTCTAGTTTATCCTCCTCCATAGGTTTCGTCCGGCTCACAAAACGCTCCGTCCTTCAGCTGACACTTATTTAGCAAAGTGTAAAAAATACTTGCTACCAAATACTTCCAATTTGTTCAAAATTCGTGTGCAGTTAACTTGAAAAGTAAGATTAGTTCTAGATTAGCTCGACTTCGAAGTGCTCGCCAGTCACAACAACGTTGAGGAATAGTGATAGATTTGAGCGATTATTGTAGAGCTTCAACAAAGGGGATGGGGAAGTGTAATGCTCCATCGGAAACGTATAAAGTTCGAAGTAGGCAAGTACAGTCGAATCATTTAGTATGGTTATGTGTGCATTGCACATACCGTCCATTTTTGGCGTCCTCATCCTGAATTTGCAATCACAAAAACGCAAGAGAATAAATCGGTTGTTATTGCGTATTTCATCTGAGGTGGTTGGTAGCTAAAAAGGAAAGAAAACGTTAAAAACACATTGAAAACACTTACTTGAAGGGTTGTCTCCTCAAAGAATCCGGAATGGGAACGCCAAAGGTGGATAGTGTGTGCAGTGTCACACATGATTATTTGAAGTGATTTGAGTGTATGCAGCGGTAGCACATTTTTTTGAGCATATCAACTGAGCAAACTTCGATACAGAGTTCTCCTGTTAAAAGGTGGAATGGGGCATATCAGAGCTGCTGTAAGTAACGCCCGAGCAAGTCATTTCGATGCTGTAAGTGCTTGAAGCTCTAGGCACTTGCCTGTTTTAAAGCCCAAACGGTTTAGCAGAGCAAGTGCTTTCCACTACCATATCGGACTTGTACAGAACTGCCGCGATTAGGTTAAGAAATTGCAGAAATGATCGAATATCTAAACCTATGAGAATGCAAATGTTTCTATACAAACGCTTAGGTGCTTCGTGAGTATTCTTCAAAAAGGGAATAAGAATAGTGTTGCTTGCGGCAGGGCCTTTTGGAAGAAATACAGATTTTGTTGTGAAATTCAAACTACTGCTGTAGGATACTATTTTAGAGATTGTGTTGAAATTTCAATAATCTTGTCTTGAATGTGGGATCACTGAGATATTTCCTGCTTTTTTGCTTTTCTATGGTGCCATTTCTAGAAAGTTTTCAGGACATGCCGCCATTGCCCGATGTAGTCTCTGGGGATGCACTGCTTCATGATGGTAATGGCGTTATAGAGGATGACGTGGGGACACTAGTCGGTCAGCACTTTTTGAAGTCGTTTTTCCATAATTACAGTAACTATCATCTTTGGATATAGACCAGCATCTACTGCACGAATGAAAAGCTTGCTTAGGTTGCTTTACATCGAACATAAATGAGTATCAGAGCAATCCAGTGTGCCACACATGACGCTTCAATCCAATGTTAATGCCATCATCAAGGGAACATCGCTGTCGCAATGCTTTTTGTGGCGGGCTTAGGCATGTGCCTTGCCTTGCGTATTAGCAAGCCAATCAATAAAGTACCCGAAAGATACATTCCCTAAAAACTTGCGATCGGGCTGTAGAGACCTGAGAGATACTTTGAGCAAATCTCAAAGTATAAGACTCATGTGGGAGAACTGTAAGACACTACGCAGCTATGGCTTCCCAAACTGAGCTTCTCAGTGAGTTTTCCTGTTCTTTACTCGTGCTATTTTTATGACTGTAAATGAGTATAACTTGCTTAGGGACAATACTGGAGATTGGCGAAAAGATGTGAATGCAACCGATAAAGATGGTTATACTCCGTTGCATTACGCTGTTCAAACTGGACAAAACACAGGAATAACTAAGCTGTGAGTATTGAAAGGGTTTCAAGCTAGTCCTAGCAATTCTCTTTGCATCAGAGCTGGAATAAGGCAGCGATGTATTTGTGGCAGCTCATGATGGTAATACAGCCAGCCTTGCTTATGGCTTACTGATTTTTGAAGCACGTCATTTTCTTTGTCGTACTTCTTTGTTAACTGTTGTACTTCTAAAACTTGGTTTCTGTTCCATATGCTGAATCAAAATCACTCTTTTTAACATGGATTTTGATGGCCTTTAGTATTTGGGTAGCGACATGCCGACTCTCTTCGATAGCAATACAAAAGCTCTTTCACTCTCAAAAGGATTGCGGCCTCTACAAAGATTTGCAAAGGGGTATTGCGCATGTATTGGGCAGTCTGCTCGCGGTTTTGATAGCGCATTAAACTATTTTCTTCTTTGACACAAGTTCTTCCCCAAATCAGCTCAATATCTAAACTTGCACTGAATATGATATCTTCTGTCATTTCCGTGGTAAAAATTACCTTGTGTGAATTCTGCAGGCGGTAAAAGCCATTCACCGCCAAATAATCCGAGTGCTACAAGCAGGAAACCTGAGATTTGAATTCAACTCCTTTAACTGGCCTCTAGAAAACGTGCCTATGAAATAGGTGACTAGTGACTCAGTAAGGTCCTTCAGCCCTTTATCCTTTTCGTTCTTACCAGATAGTCGACAAGCATATTCTCGAATGGCGCGGCTGGGATCGCATGCCTAATCACATGTACCATGGCGATAAAAGCAATTCACCGCCAATTAATCCGTGTGCGTCGGGTATTCGCGGCGCTTTGCTTTCCGAGAGTGGGGCAAAACCATTCAATGGCGTATGTGATGGTAGTACCAGTGTCCTACCTGCGCTGAGTCAATTACAGCTAGAGATGAGGCGTTAGACCCACAGTAGGCGGGAAGCGAAAGGTCAGTACCTAGACGCATGATCAAGATTAGTAAGATGAGCATTTAGATGAGCTTGGTTGCCCTCCTGCGAGACCATACAGGCTTGAAGATGGCGATGGTACAGCCAGAGTATATATTGGGGAACCGAGTACACCTCATGCGAGGGGGCACAATACGCATGTGCACGATCTGCCAACAAGCAATGCAGATGATGTACGTAGCCTGGATTCCAGGCCTCCTCTATCGCAAGGATTAACGTATTCATGTGAGGATAACAGAAAGGAGGCTTCTATATGGCTAATTTCTCTCCGCACTTTGGTATGACTGATGTGATGGAGTCGTACTAGATGACCATCATGTGGAATCAAGACAAACATGTGGGCATATCAGACTCACTTTGGTAATGATGATTACAGTCCTGCTGCACTTTTAGTCCACATTTACGTATGATGTGGGGCGTAAAGACGAAACTTATGCAACCGTATGAGTACAAGCACTGTTTCTTTGTAATAATGGCTGCACACCTCTTGGTCACAGACTGGCCATCTTCAGTCCGGTTGTCGGCTCGAAGGGTGGGCATCAACTTTCTGCATGAATGTCCTCCATTTATGCTGCGGGGTTGCATCAAAAAGAAGCAATGTGACCAAAAGAGCGTAACTTTATCTTGTACGGTTGCTACCACAGCTACGACTAGTAGTGTTGAATACCCTAGATCGCATCACTGAGATACACAGCCTGTTGCTTACGAATGTAAGAGTTTTTTTTTTCACGTAAAGAGATCTTTTTTGGTGTAATTTAGGGATGGGTTGACCCTCGCATTCGTGACGAAACCTATGACGGAAACGTCTTGGAAGTAATGAGCAGTTCGAGCGTTGTGAAATAAAGATTTTGCTTACAATAAGCACAGATGGTGTTGTCTTTATGGGGCTTAGCAAGTTAGCGTATTTTCGACATTATCTTCTTGTTTGATCCAAAAAAATTTTTAGCTCACAAGCGTGGCCCACAATATGTTAGAATAGAAAACCTCTCAGGTTATGAAAGTAATTCGCATAAGAATATACTGCTCCCGGGTGTCTTGTTTACGCCAAGAACTCTATCACGAGTCATGCTCGAACAGTTATTCTTTCAGTAAGTCTCCTTCAGAGATTTTTACGGTTTTTGCGAAGCTTGAAGCACGGCCTAAAAACTGCTAATCGAACTGGGGTAGTTTTTCAAACTTCTCTTTACAATTGACTATGGGATTGCAGGCCTTATAGGCTCTCCATATTTACAGTATTCATACGAATTGCTTGAGAGTTGTTGGTTCACAAAATGAATACCGCGTCTATCAATCTCTAACAGATCACAAGCCTTCAACAAAACCGAACACCCTTCCGCACTCGTCCGACTCAATGGCACGCAGTATGACAAGCGTAGTGCAAGAATAGACGAATGTGATTTCCAGATTATCAACAAGCCCAAACAATCGTTCAATGCTTCCATATACTCAACGTCGATTTACAGATGGACGTAGTCATGAGCAGAGTGAGAGATCAAGAAAAACAAGTGAGAGAGCAAAGTACCATAATTCCAAAAATAAGTCTATTTTTCTGCGTAGTTTGGTGTGACTGATGTGATGGGGTCATACCTAGATGAGCTGCTCATCATGTGGAATCAAGGCAAACATGCCTAGAAGGCGGGCGCGCCGGATTGACTCGGAAATAATGGTTAGAATCCTGCTGCCTTTTGGTACACGTTTACGTACAAGCACTTCTTTTTCTGCAATCATTGCTGCACACCTTTTGGTCACAGATTGGCCATATGCGATCAGTCTGGCTGTCCGCTCAGGGGGTGCGTACCAACTGTTTGCATGAATGTCTTCTTCATTTGTGCTGCAAAGTTGCATGGAAAAGGAACAATTTCGCTAAAGGCATAGGCGAGTATTTCATAGGCAAGTTTTCTTGAGACCAGTTAAAGGAGTTGAATTCAAATATCAGATTTCGTGCTTGTAGCACTCGGATTATTTGGCGGTGAATTGCTTTTATCGCCTGCAGAATTTACAGAAGGTAAATTTCACCATGAAATTGCAGAAGATATCGTATTCACTGCAAGTTTAGATATTGAGCTGATTTGGGGAAGAATGTGTTTCAAAAAGAAATTGGTTTGATGCGCTAGCGCTGTTGCTATCGCTAAATCTATCGTTATGCGTTATCCCTATCGGCTATCGCTATCCTTTCCTCTCTGGGTAATGCCGTCGCAGCTGTCTCAACTGTTTCCAGTATGGTTGAAAGTGCTGGTGCTTAAAGTTTTTCCCTTTTCAAGTGAAGTATATACCTTTTTTACCTTTGAATAACAGAGAGGTCTCTTCACTAAACTCTAGCCATTTCTTTTAGTCTTTTTTTACTTTATCGAATGCTACCTTGTGCTCAGGAATGTGTAATTTTCTTGTTGTGATTTTGTTGTTGAGAGTATGAAGTTGCCTCACAATCATCCATGTCACAAACAATGTAACAAAACTTGCTTTTATCTACTTATATCATGATGTTCAGTCCATAGCAATCGCTTATTCTCGCTGTTGTGTTCACTCATTGAATGGAAATTCAATGCATTCCTTACGCCTTCATGACACTATTGCTCTTTCCCAATATTTTCTACTATGATGCAAGCGAACTTTGTTTTCGAATTGTTCTTTGCCGTTTAAAATATTGTCTCCGTTTGTTCGGAAGCGATTCTGTTCTTGACACTAGATTTTTCTCTTTTTGCTCAGGAATATATAATTTTGCTGCTGCGATTTTGTTGCTACGAGTTTTCTTATCATTTGTTATGGTTTTGTCGTTGAGTTGATGAATAAATCTCTGTTGATTCAGTCTCTGTTGTTTACATAGTATACAATGTATGCGAGAAATTTGAACAATATCAAGTGCGCTCTACGGCTAATTCCACGCCCCATGGTCGTTTCGGGACTCCTGCATTTCACCGCCGTTTCACCTGCGTTCGACCCGAACATGTGCTGCAGGTGAATCCCGAACCAAACGCAGGTGAAACCTGTTCGACCGGCGTTTCTCCGGCAGTCTTGTCCCGAACCAATAGCCGGATTATCCCGAAACAAAAGGATGTGTACCGCAGGTTGTCAATGAGTCGAACTCCCTTTCACCGGCGGTCGTCAACCGCGAGTGTCTGAGTAGATGCGGATTTGTAAGAGAGTGGGTCAATCTCGTCAATGATATGGTTGAGAAAGCAAACCAAAAGTTGATTTTGTATGCGGAAAATAAGTTACGTAAAGTGTTCAACTCGTACAAAAACTAATATTGTTTCTTGCTTTCACGAACAGTTTCGAACTGAATGAGCTAATACCTTTGCGTCTTCCATCAACTTATTTTGCACTCGGAGTAATCTGTTTTGATATTGGCATGGAGAATCTTTGGTTAGTGATATATTTTCGGCAATGTAATCTGACGACGTCTTTCTACAGAAATCTAAATCGAGTTGATGTGGAATTAGATGTGGAGTTAATAATGAGTATATCAAGTTTGAGGGGCCGTTTTCCAACTCGATTTACTCGGGAAGTACCTTGAGGAAATCAAAGATAGAGTAAGCAAATCATGTTTTGCACTAATGTTATCTGCTTGTTAGTGTTCGAGGTGAGAGGGGCATGTGTTGCAGGTTGGAACATTATCAGCAAAAATTACACCTGGTAAGCCTCTAAGTTTTCAGTCTGTATATCGTCGATCACTGACTCCTTCTATGCGTTCTCAGACAATCGCTGGGGGCAGGCGGGCACCGGAAAAATAGATTGCTGATTTCTCGCACCCCGCTCGCGGATTTTTTGCAAAGCAATCAGGACTTTTCGGAAGACCGCTTGCTGAGTCAGCGGATTTTTGAGAGACCGCCTGTTGAATTTTTTTCCACTCTTATCTTTTGCAGATATATTGCTGAATCTCTGAGGAATCGAGAACTCAACAAGCGGTCTTCCGAAAAGTCCTGATTGCTCTCCAAAAATCCGCGAGCGGGGTGCGAGAGATCAGCAATCTATTTTTCCGATGCCCGCCTGCCCCCGGCGATTGTCTGAGTTGAGATGTGGGCACTACTATTCCCTAAAATGCATACTGTTTCACGTGAGAAGATACACGTGTTGTTATGTCATCTATTTTGCATAATTGGCGATGTGCTGCAATTAGAACCAGCACAATCTCGATTTTATGTATAGCAGCCAGTTGCAATCAGCTTCGTTGGAGGATATGAAGGTAGCTCCTTACATAGGGGTTCATATAGCAGATAGATACACTTCTCAAATGTAAACGACTCTCTTTGCACAGAATTTTTCACGTAGTTGTTCCATCGGAGAGCGGAATCTAACCTCCGTATAAGCGAATCACCTATCACTCTTCTTTGCTCTAGGACTCACTAGGAAGTTGGTGGAGGACATC